TGCTAAAATTAATGTATCGTGGCTTGCAATTGGAGCAGCAAATTTTTATTTTAAATCGAAGACTTGCTTCTTCATGTATAAAAACAAAAGTACAACTTTGCATTTCGAGTCGTTAATTTTCATAATATTCGGTGAATCTCTATCTTTTTGGTCTTAAATTAAAGCTTAGCTGCTCCTCTTTCATGACGACACCAAAAAAATACAGGAAATTCCGGCATTTATACGCGAAAAAATGAAAAAAAAAATTTTTTTTTCAAATTTAGGAAAAAAAATTTCAAAAAATCAAAAAAAAAATTTTTTTTCCCATGATTTGCCAAAAACCTTTTTCTGGCCTCATTGATACTACAAACGACAATGAATGCAATTGAAATTTATACAATCCACCGTAACATTTTCGAGATTTTGCTTCGGACATACGTACATATACCGCGTCGTTGGCTGCTGCCAAGTGGCGCATGGCTTGATGTATTTTAACCTTTTGTACGAGCCATAAAGGACTACTGTCCTGGGCCATTTATTAATAAACCTATCTATCTATCTATCTATCTATCTACATACACACATACACACACACACACACACACACACACACACACACACACACACACACACACACACACACACACACACACACACACACACACACACACACACACACACACACACACACACACACACACACACACACACACACACACACACACACACACACACACACACACACACACACACACACACACACACACACACACACACACACACACACACACACACACACACACACACACACACACACACACACACACACACACACACACACACACACACACACACACACACACACACACACACACACACACACACACACACACACACACACACACACACACACACACACACACACACACACACACACACACACACACACACACACACACACACACACACACACACACACACACACACACACACACACACACACACACACACACACACACACACACACACACACACACACACACACACACACACACACACACACACACACACACACACACACACACACACACACACACACACACACACACACACACACACACACACACACACACACACACACACACACACACACACACACACACACACACACACACACACACACACACACACACACACACACACACACACACACACACACACACACACACACACACACACACACACACACACACACACACACACACACACACACACACACACACACACACACACACACACACACACACACACACACACACACACACACACACACACACACACACACACACACACACACACACACACACACACACACACACACACACACACACACACACACACACACACACACACACACACACACACACACACACACACACACACACACACACACACACACACACACACACACACACACACACACACACACACACACACACACACACACACACACACACACACACACA